TACTTATGTCATGTTATATTTTGTTGTATTGTTACTGTTGTCAGTCAGTTACATGTCATGTCCATATAAGCTGTTTAGAGCTTGAATGTCATAGTTGAAGCTGTGTTATTGTTTTAACACTGGAATTGCATGTTTAAATGTGTCAAGGCTTACATGTGTTGGATTTTGGACTAAGTTTATGCTTAATAGTTTTGTAGTAATTTTGTATGATTTGTGACTTTTCTATATCACCATTGTTTATGTAATACATATTGTTATGTAACTGAACCATTAGGACAATTACATAAATTTTTGTTTGGTCATTGCTGTGTGACTTTCGATTAGGCAAACATTCATTGTTTATAGTTATGTTAGGTTGTTAAATAGTTGGGAGTTGTTGGATAACCACGGAGGGGGGGGGGGTATTATGTCTGTATAATATGTTAAGGCAATGCAATTGATTGTCTAGTAGTCGATTATTATGTACAATTTCGAGGGATGTGTATATAAAAGTGTTGTTCATATCGGTAATTCTGTTGGGTCGGCTCCACATGGTTTGGGTTAAATGATAGGATGAGGAGCAGGGAGGGGGGGGGGATGTACCACACGGAGTTGTAAGTGTGGTGTTGTAATATTAGATGTAGGTGGATTGTGGTTGTTAATTATCGACCTTAAATGAGTTTTCCTATTATATTTTGTAATGTCATGTTTTAAAATAAAATTAAATAAAAAAAAAAAAAAATTACCAAGTGATACACAACCCCCCCCCTCCCACAGTAGCTACTATCACCCCTCCACCGCAGCCCACCCTCTACCCTTCCCCTAACAACCTTCCCTCCCCACAAACAAAAGCACTGACGTAATCACCCCCTCCTGCGGTCAGTGGCGCATTAAGCCTTAGTGGTCAAGATTAGTGGCGCCATAGTCACATGTCTGCCATCCTCCACACAATCAACACCTCCAGCTCCTTCAGTTACATCAACTGAAGGTAATGTATAAAACTTTAATTATTCCAATGTTATGGTAATTTTGATAGATCAGCTTGGGAATTGTTATTGCAATTTCTTATTCTTACAGATATTGAATGGGGGGAAAAACATTGTAAATATTATATTAAGAACTAACTATTGTTTAATGTAGTTTTCTAGTGACGTACACACTTATGGTGGCAGACATTGTCGTTGGTGCTGCTGATGTCATCTTGAAGACTTGTAGCTGCCCACCACAGTGGACTACGCCACAGCAGTGCCACAACAAGTGACCTTTACCACACAGGCATGATGCCCACCACTGTGATATCACCGCACAGTCTGCTGCCCACCACAGTGTCTTCACCGCACAGCAGCTGCCCACCACAGTGTCTTCACCGCACAGCAAGCTGCACACACAGTTGTCTTCACCGCACAGCAGCTGCCCCACCACAGTGACTTTACCGCTCAGCAGCTGCCCACCACAGTGACTAACCACAGCAGCTGCCCACCACAGTTGACTACCACACAGCAGCTGCCACCCACTGTGACTTCCACACGGCAGCTGCCCACCACAGTGACTTCACCACACAGCGTTGCCCACAACAGTGACTTTACCACACAGCAGTGCCAACCTTAACTGTCCTTCACGCACAGTCTTCAACCTAAAACATGGTATAAACTTCTGCATTAAATCTAATAATAGTTTTTCTTATCACAACAAAAATATTATTGAACTACCTACTATACGTGTTCAAGGGAACACAAAAGAAAATGAGACAAGCCTCAACTGCGGTTATTTGTCAGCAAGGACAACATGCACACCAAATTCGGGAAGCTTTAGCTCGGGAAAAAAAAAAAAATATACCTACCCCAACCCTACATCAACAGTAGTAATGAGACTATTCGTTCTCAATACTGCCATTATTATATAGTTTGAGGTATGATACATTTTTTAAATTCATGACTGGTGAAGTTTCCTGACAATGCAGTGTGTTGCGACGCTGGACAGTCCAGTGTTTTACAGAAGTGTTTAGCTTCACTGTAACGTCCACAAGTCTTCTAGCCTGTTATAACACTGGAGACAGGCAGTGATCACGTCTTGCAGCAGAATCATCCTGACAAGTAAACAAAAGTTGGAGGGTAAACTCCCAAACAGGTACATTACAACCAAAGCAAACCTACTCCTAATATCCCCAAGATACCTGTTTAACTGGGGAGAAAAAAATTCTTGACTTTATCAACTTGCACTACTCCACTGAGTCCAATCTGATTGACCTTCATGGACTTGTCCCCTTGAGATTACCGCCGCCGCCCCTTCACCATTCAAACTATATTTTACCATACTCGGCTAAAAATTTATTTGGGTAATTGTGCAGGAAACTAGATACTATCTATTATCTAGTAGGGGTTATACATAGCTTTTGGAATGTTAGGCAATCGGGTTTGATCCAGGGAAGGAGAGGGTACTCGCAACTGCTTGTATAAAGATACCTTTCGCTGGTACATAAAGCACTCTTGAGATGTTGGTGCATACAAATTTCAACATGAAGATGGAAAATGAGTGCCTTTCCCTACCACTCTCATACCCGGCATAGTCTAACACTACCACCATGTTCCTCATAGCACACTAAGACTGACAACCAACATATGGGTTATCTAACCTGTGGAGCTCTGCCGGTCTAACACGCTACTATGTTAGCTGGAATTAACTGACCTACCTGCCAGATTATGGTCTGCATCTTAGACAACTAAGGACTACTATGATTCGAGATTCCCCAACCTCTCTACCTCTATTTTTATCTGGGTTCCTTAACCCAGCAGGGTTATATTAATCCTAATTTCTCTAATACCATCTAAATCACCCCCCTCATAAACTATACTCTTCGGCATCAGTGTTTAAGTGAAAATTTTTCGCGTGACTAACAGTGTGTGTGTTCAGATCACAGAAGTTTTATTACGTCTGCTGCCTAATTCGCGGTTACACTTCATCTATCATTAACGTCTAGCTGCCTAAGTGTTTACCTTCACTATCATTAAACGTCTGCTGCGTAATAAGTGTAACACTTACGATTATTAAACTATCAAATACCAATCCTGTAATTCTGAACGATAATACGTTTTATTCACTGAGGAAGCCCTGATCACGGACGCTTAAATCGCGTTCCAAAATTGATGAAATTGTGTAAACCTCAATGTAATGTGATATTTAACTGGCAGTGTGGGGCGCAAAAAGGCATAAACTAAAACGTAGTTAGAGAACACCCACCACAACCGTTCTACCAAACCGGACCACCAAAATCCCCACGCGAAACCACTTGCATTAACAGATTGCAGACAGCTACTGAAGGTCGTTGGTTGGGTTCCAGGGTCAAGACAGTTCTACCTAATCTATGCTCTGCAGGGGAGAGATTACTGATCTCCCTGCTTGATGCATTCTGTAATGCATATAGCAGATGTCTTCCAGTTTTATACTTACCTATCTACTTAAAATGGTTGTTATAAGTTATTTTGATAGAAAACTAAAAGTAGACATTGTAGACCCTTCAGTGGTCAGTACTTATACAGAATGAGCTAACATCACAACTATGTACGGCATACTCAGGTATGGCTTGTGATTTGTATAGCAATGGTGGTGCAAGGTGGGGATGATGGGAGGTAAAGTTAAGATCAAGGTGTTCTAGGTGAGATCAAGGGGTCTAGGTAAGATCAAGAACTAGGTAAGCTCAACAGGGGTCTAGGTAAGATCAAAGGGGTCTAAAGCTTCCTAACCTATAATCAGTCTTCAGTTCTAAGCTTTACAACCCATTTCTCCCATTTTTATCTCCACCCCATTCAAGTTAACTTATGAAATACATTTCTCATTATTTCCGGACCAGAGATTTCATCTCTGGTCGGGAGATAACCTAATACTTCCCACTAAGTTACTTTTGATATCAATTCCTTACAATCTTAACTATATTCTCCCCACCAGCCTACCACCTAATACAATTATCTGCTTCAATAACTAAACTTTAGAGGACTTGTAATCTGGAAATACCTTACAAGTGGACCCCGCCCACCTCTGACGACGTCTCCAGCTGCTGCATCTCCACATACCTGGCGTAACCCTCTCCAGGTATAACACTAAATGCTATGAGTCAGATCATTTACTAGTGTGGTTGTCTCCACTCCTCAGACTGGTCAATGTTGCAGCAGACAGCACTCCTCAACTGTCAAGTTGCGCAGACAGTCCTCACCTGGGGCAATTTTGCAGAACACACTCCCCCAAAGGTCAATGTTGCAGCAGACGCACCCTCAACTGGGCAATGTTGCAGCAAAAGCACTCTTTACACGGGCAGTGCAGCAGACAGCATCCTCAACGGTCAATGTGGCAGAGAAAAGGGGAATTTTCCCACACTGTCAAAGTTGCAGCAACAGCACCCTCAAAATGGTCAAGTTTCAGCAGACAGCACCCTCACACGGTCAAGTTGCAGAGACGCACCCCAACTGGCAATTTTTGCAGCAGACAGCACTCCCAACGGTCAATTCTGCAAAAGCACCTCAATGGGAATGTTTTCAGCAGACGCACTCCTCAGACTGGTCAATGTTCAGCAGCGCACCCCCAATGGCAATGTTGCAGCAACAGACTCCCCAACCCGGTCAAAAGTTGCAGCAACAGCACTCCTCAGACTGGTCAATGTTGCACAGACCGGACTCCTCACCTGGTCAATGTTGCAGCAGACGCACCCTTTTCCCAAACTGGTCAATGTTGCAGCAGACAGCATCCCACCTGGGCAATTTGCAAACAGACAGCATTCAACGGTCAATGTTGCAGCAGACAAGCACTCCTCAACTGGTTTAAAGTTGCAGCAACAGCACTCCTCAGAGGGTCAATGTTTTCGCAGACAGCACTCCCCAATGGTCAATGTTGCAGCAGACAGCACTCCCAACCGGCAAAGTTGCGCAACAGCACTCCTCAATGGGCAATGTTTTAGCAACAGCACTCCTCCACTGGTCAATGTTCAGCAGAAAGCCTCCCACACTGGCAATGTTGCAGCAGACAGCATTCACACTGGTCAATTTCAGCGACAGCACTCCTCACACGGTCAATGTTGCAGCGACACACTCCCAGACGGTCAAAGTTGGCCCCGCGACAGCACTCCCAACGGGGCAATGTTGCAGCAGACGCATCCTCAACGGTCATTTTTGCAGCAGACAGCATCCCCCAGATGGTCAATGTTGCAGCAGACGCACCCTAACTGGTCAATGTTGCAGCAACAGCACTTTCCCCAACTGGGCATGTTGCAGCAGAACACTCCCCCCAAATGGTCAATGTTTTTCGCAGCGCATCCCCAACTGGTCAATGTTGCAGCAGACAGCACTCCCCAACCCGGTCAATGTTGCAGCAACAGCACTCCCGACTGGTCAATGTTTCGCAGACGCACCCTCCCTTTTTCCCCGCCCTGGGTCAATGTTTTCAGCAGACAGCACTCCCCAGACGGTCAATGTTGCAGCAGACAGCCTCCAAAAATGGTCAATGTTGCGCAACGCACCCTCAAAGGCAAGTTGCAGCAGACAGCACCCCCATGGTCAATGTTGCAGCAGCAGCACTCCCCCGACTGGGCAAAGTTGCAGCAGACAGCCTCCCTCACCGGCAATGTTGCCCGCAACAGCTTTTCAACTGGTCAAAGTTGCAGCAACAGCACCCTCAACTGGTCAAATTTTCGCAGACAGCACTCCTCCTGGCAATGTTGCAGCAGACAGCATTCAACTGGGGCAAATTTTCAGCAGCAGCCTCCCCAAATTTGGGCAATGTTGCGCAGGCATCCCAGACTGGCAATGTTGCGCAGACACATTCAACTGGCAATGTTTTCAGCAGACCATCCCCAATGGTCAATGTTGCAGCAGACAGCACTCCCGACGGTCAATGTTTTCAGCAACAGCCTTCACATGGTCAAGTTGCAGCAGACAGCACTCCCACACTGGTCAATGTTGCAGCAGACAGACCCTCAACTGGCCCAAAGTTGCAGCAGACGCATTCCAACGGTCAATTTTGCAGCGACCCAAAATTCCCCAATTTGGGCAATGTTGCAGCAGACAGATCCTCAGACTGGTAATGTTGCAGAACAGCATTTCCCCTGGTCAATGTTTCAGCAGACAGCACTCCCCAAAGGCAAGTTGCAGCAGACAGCACTCCCCGATGGTCAATGTTGCAGAGACAGCACCCTCACATGGGCAATGTTGCACAGACAGCACCCTCACCCGGCAATGTTTTCAGCAGACAGCACTCCCCAAATGGCAAAGTTGCAGCGCAGCACTCCCCCGACTGGTCAATGTTTCAGCAACAGCACTCCTCAACTGGCAATGTTGCAAGACAGCACTCCCCAGACTGTCAATTGCAGCAGACAGCACTCCCCCACCTGGGGCAATGTTTTCAGAGACGCACTCCCCGACTGGTCAATGTTGCGCAAAAGCACCCTCAACTGGTCAATGTTTCAGCAGACAGCATCCTCCCAACTGGTCAATGTTGCGCAGACAACCCTCACCCGGGCAATGTTCAAACAGCAGCACTCCTCAACTGGGCAAAGTTTGCCAACAGCTTTCAATTCAAGTTTTCAGCAACGCATCCTCACCTGGTCAAAATTTTCAGCAACCATCCCAACTGCAATGTTTCAGCAAACAGCACCCCCAATGGGGCAATGTTGCAGCAGACAGCACCCCCCGACTGGGCAATGTTTTCAGCAGACGCACTCCTCAATGGTCAATGTTGCGCAACAGCACTCCCCAACGGTCAATGTTGCAGCAGCAGCACTCCCCACTGGCCCAAAGTTGCAGCAGACAGCACCCCACCGGGCCCTGTTGCAGCAGACAGCATTTCACAGGGCAATTTGCAGCGAAGCATTCACACGGCAAGTTCAGCAGACAGCATCCTCACATGGTCAATGTTTGCAGCAGACACACTCCTCAACTGGGCAATTTTGCAGCAGACAGCCTCCTCAGACTGGCAATGTTTCAGCAGACAGCACCCCCCAACTGGGGCAATGTTGCAGCAAAAGACTCCTCACCGGGGCAAGTTGCAGCAGACAGCACTCCCCACACGGGCAAAGTTTCAGCAGACACACTCCCCACATGGCAAAGTTCAGCAGACAGCCCCTCCCTTTGGGCAAAATTGCAGCAGACAGCATTTAAAAACTGGTCAAGTTGCAGCAGACAGCACTCCCAACGTCAATGTTGCAGCAGACAGCCGTTTACACCGCAACAAAACAAAAACATTTCCTCAACTTCAAATTCACAACAAAAAAACTTCCTCGAAAAAAATTAATGTTTTCACAAAAGAATTTTTTAAAATTAATTTTTCCAAAACTTAAAAAAAATGGGAAAGAACCACAAAAATCCCCAATGGCAAGTTTTTACAAAAAGGGGGCCCTTTACAAGCATTTCCCGAGGGAAAAAAAAAACCAGTAAACACCCTTTGGTTAATTTGTCCAGGAAGGGGGGGGCTCAGTTCCTGTCAAAACCCCGCAAGGTTAACACCCCCCCCCCCCTAAACCCCATAAAAATAAAAATAAAAAATTTAAAAAAATTTGGTGTGAGTAAACCGGTGGCGGTGGACCAGGACTGCTAAGCTCAACTCTTCTGTTTACTGAGAAATACGTCACCAACAATACACACGTTATAGGAGTGTTAAGTTAGACACGAAAAGCCGGCGGAGCAGCAGGAGGAAGAGCAACACATCTCTCCTGTACGACCATTGAAGTTCAACTGACTCTTAGTAACCTTGAGGTTGGTCACTGTCCTGACCTTCACTATAACACCACCACTGATAACCTGACTAACTCTGACTACCACCACTAGATGGCACTACTACACCACCACTGTCCTGACCTTCACTATAACACCATCACTGATAACCTGACTAACTCTGACTACCACCACTAGATGTCACTACTACACCACCACTAGATGGCACTACTACACCACCACTAGATGGCACTACTACACCACCACTAGATGGCACTACTACACCACCACTGTCCTGACCTTCACTATAACACCATCACTGATAACCTGACTAACTCTGACTACCACCACTAGATGGCACTACTACACCACCACTAGATGGCACTACTACACCACCCTAGATGGCACAACAACACCACCACAGTCCTGGACCTACACCTATACCCACAACACTGATAACCTGTAACTAACTCTATGCTACCACCACTAGTATGTCACTACTACACCACCACTAATGGCACTACTTACACCACCCTATATTGCCACTACTACACCACCCACTGTCCTGACCTTCACTATAACACCACCACTGATAACCTGACTAACTCTGACTACCACCACTAGATGGCACTACTACACCACCACTGACCCAGAGACCTTCACTATAACCCACCACAGATAACCTGACTAACTCTGACTAACCACCACGAATGGCACTACTACACCCCAGTCCCTGACCTTCCCACTGTAACACCATCACGAAACCAGACTATCTCTGACTACCACCACAATATGTCACTACTAACACCACCACTAGATGGCAACAACAGACACACCACCACTAGATGGCACACTACAGCACCACTAGAATGGCACTACCTACACCACCTACTGTCCTGAGACCATCTTCACAATTAACACCATCACTGAAAACCTTGACTAACTCAGCTACCACCACTAGATGTACACGATACTACACCACCACTAGATTGGCACTACAACAGCCCCCACCATTGGCACTACTACTACACCACCACTGTCCGAGACCTTCACTATAACACCATCACTGATAACCAGACTAACTCTGACCTACCACCACTAGATTCCACTACACACCAACCTAGATGCACTACTAACACCACCACTAGATTGCACTACTACACCACCACTGTCCTGACCTTCACTATAACACCACCACTGATAACCTGACTAACTCTGACTACCACCACTAGATGGCACTACTACACCACCACTGTCCTGACCTTCACTATAACACCACCACTGATAACCTGACTAACTCTGACTACCACCACTAGATGGCACTACTACACCACTGTCCTGACCTTCACTGTAACACCATCACTGATAACCTGACTAACTCTGACTACCACCACTAGATGGCACTACAACACCACCACTGTCCAGACCTTCACTGTAGGACACCAACACATGAAAACCTGACAAACATCTGAATACCACCACTGATGGCACTAACAACCAAACCACCACAGTCCTGACTGTCCACTATAACACCAATCCCACTGATAACCTGACTAACTCTGACTACCACCACTAGATGGCACTACTACACCACCACTGTCCTGACCTTCACTATAACACCATCACTGATAACCTGACTAACTCTGACTACCACCACTAGATGTCACTACAACACCACCATTGTCCTGACCTTCACTATAACACCATCACTGATAACCTGACTAACTCTGACTACCACCACTAGATGGCACTACTACACCACCACTTCCACCACTAGATGGCACTACTACACCACCACTTCCACCACTAGATGTCACTACTACACCACCACTGTCATGGTGGAGCACTCAACCCATGTTTACCTGGAGAGAGTTCCGGGGGTCAACGCCCCCAGCTGCCTGGTCTGTGACCAGGCCTCCTGGTGGATCAGAGCCTGGTCAACCAGGCTGTTACTGCTGGCTGCACGCAAACCAACGTACGAGCCACAGCCCGGCTGGTCAGGTACCGACTTTAGGTGCTTGTCCAGTGCCAGCTTGAAGATTGCCAGGGGTCTATTGGTAATCCCCCTTATGTATGCTGGGAGGCAGTTGAACAGTCTCGGGCCCCTGACACTTATTGTATGGTCTCTTAACGTGCTAGTGACACCCCTGCTTTTCATTGGGGGATGTTGCATCGTCTGCCAAGTCTTTTGCTTTCGTTGTGAGTGATTTTCGTGTGCAAGTTCGGTACTAGTCCCTCTAGGATTTTCCAGGTGTATATAATCATGTATCTCTCCCGCCTGCGTTCCAGTGAATACAGGTTCAAGAACCTCAAGAGCTCCCAGTAATTGAGGTGTTTTATCTCCGTTATGCGTGCCGTGAAGGTTCTCTGTACATTTTCTAGGTCAGCAATTTCACCTGCCTTGAAAGGTGCTGTTAGTGTGCAGCAATATTCCAGCCTAGATAGAACAAGTGACCTGAAGAG